CCCTAACCCTAACCCTAACCCTAACCCTAACCCTAACCCTAGCCCTAACCCTAACCCTAACCCTAACCCTAACCCTAACCCTAACCCTAACCCTAACCCTAACCCTAACCCTAACCCTAACCCTAACCCTAACCCTAACCCTAACCCTAACCCTAACCCTAACCCTAACCCTAACCCTAACCCTAACCCTAACCCTAACCCTAACGCTAACCCTAACCCTAACCCAACCCTAACCCTAACCCTAACCCTAACCCTAACCCTAACCCTAACCCTAACCCTAACCCTAAACCCTAACCCTAACCCTAACCCTAACCCTAACCCTAACCCTAACCCTAACCCTAACCCTAACCCTAACCCTAACCCTAACCCTAACCTTAACCCTAACCCTAACCCTAACCCTAACCCTAACCCTAACCCTAACCCTAACCCTAACCCTAACCCTAACCCTAACCCTAACCCTAACCCTAACCCTAACCCTAACCCTAACCCTAACCCTAACCCTAACCCTAACCCTAACCCTAACCCTAACCCTAACCCTAACCCTAACCCTAACCCTAACCCTAACCCTAACCCTAACCCTAACCCTAACCCTAACCCTAACCCTAACCCTAACCCTAACCCTAACCCTAACCCTAACCCTAACCCTAACCCTAACCCTAACCCTAACCCTAACCCTAACCCTAACCCTAACCCTAACCCTAACCCTAACCCTAACCCTAACCCTAACCCTAACCCTAACCCTAACCCTAACCCTAACCCTAACCCTAACCCTAACCCTAACCCTAACCCTAACCCTAACCCTAACCCTAACCCTAACCCTAACCCTAACCCTAACCCTAACCCTAACCCTAACCCTAACCCTAACCCTAACCCTAACCCTAACCCTAACCCTAACCCTAACCCTAACCCTAACCCTAACCCTAACCCTAACCCTAACCCTAACCCTAACCCTAACCCTAACCTAACCCTAACCCTAACCCTAACCCGGGACCCTAACCCTAACCCTAACCCTAACCCTAACCCTAACCCTAACCCTAACCCTAACCCTAACCCTAACCCTAACCCTAACCCTAACCCTAACCCTAACCCTAACCCTAACCCTAACCCTAACCCTAACCCTAACCCTAACCCTAACCCTAACCCTAACCCTAACCCTAACCCTAACCCTAACCCTAACCCTAACCCTAACCCTAACCCTAACCCTAACCCTAACCCTAACCCTAACCCTAACCCTAACCCTAACCCTAACCCTAACCCTAACCCTAACCCTAACCCTAACCCTAACCCTAACCCTAACTTAACCCTAACCCTAACCCTAGGCTAACCCTAGCTTGACAGCCATATCCCTAACCCTAACCCTAGCTCGACAGCCATAGTCCTATCCCTAACCCTAGCTCGACAGCCATAGTCCTATCCCTAACCCTAGCTCGGCAGCCATAGACCTAACCTCAACCCTAGCTCGACAGCCATATCCCTAACCCTAACCCTAGCTCGCGTGGTCGCCAACATACGGCCAGCGACCATGCGACCAAAAACCCTATATGGTCGCCAACATGGTCGCCAACACACGACCACGGTCACGACCACTCTGGTCGCGTGGTCGCCAACATAAGGCCAGCGACCATGCGACCAACAAACCCTATATGGTCGCCAACATACGACCACGGTCACGACCACTCTGGTCGCCGGTCGTGAACATACGGCCAGCGACCACGCGAAGCTCGAGCTTCGAAGCTCGCGGGGGCCAAGCCAACCCTCCCGCCCTCTAGTCCCGTTTATTACGTAGTCATACTGTGCCAGAGGTGCCTCTGGCACCTTTTGGCCATTCTGAACAGAATGGTGTTTGTTTTCGAGAGCTCATTCCTTCACCGTCACTAAGTAACTTCGGCTGAACACGTCGAGTCGCCAACTTGCGACCACGGTCACGACCACTCTGGTCGCGTGGTCGCCAACATAAGGCCAGCGACCATGCGACCAAAAACCCTATATGGTCGCCAACATGGTCGCCAACTTGCGACCACGGTCACGACCACTCTGGTCGCGCTATAAACGTATGTTCAGCACGTGACACCGGCCTGACGGGATTGTCCACTTCATAATCGACATACCGAGGAGTCACACACACAGTCCACGGACCACGCCTGTGTGATACACGCCCTGTGAGCGGGGGGCGGGGTGCGCACTGTGCCTCTGTGTTCGTGCGTCGCCCATCTCTCCTGGAGATGACTTGGAGCACTTGGAGTGCAGTCATCAACCGCACATCCAGGGCCGGGGAACTCAGAAGCGCACCCAGCGGGCCGACTGCTCTATTTATTTATTTATGTGCGAAACAACGACAAGACCAAGGCACGGGCAGAGGAGCGAGAGAAGAACATAGGATGGATAGGGCGCCTGTTCACGGCATGGAGGGTGAGCCACGATGAACGTAATGAACGTATAGAGCCGAACGAGAGGAAGCCGGGAAAGACGACTCCGAGGAGGACGAAACACCAGTGGTAATCCCGGCATCAGCTGTCACGATATACCCGAAGGGAACCCCAGTGCCAACACCGACCGTTGAGGTTCAAGTGCTCGAAACGAGAGTGGACCTGAGCAACGACATGACTTGGAGGCAAATGATCGGAGTGGGAGTCAGAAATGTGGTCCTTGCGCGAGGGGAGCTCGATAAACTCGAGGGCCAAATTATGCCGCGAGGAGGGCGGAGTTACGCAGAGAGGCGAGAGAAGCAGCGAGAGCAAGGCAGATGGCAGCGGCGTCTCAGAACGAGGCCGAGGAGAGCTGAGTCAGAGGATGAAACAGCAGGAGAGAGAACGAGGACGAGAGTGGGAAGAACGAGAGGTGGCATGAAGGTCGCTGCGAGAGTTGGTGAGAAACTGCGAAGAGTGTGTGTGTGTGTGCGCGCAGAGACCCCTAGACGCTTCGGAGCCGAACCCGGCGCAGGTTTGATAACGTGGCGCCAGTGGCCGCCTCATGTCCCGCACCGTCTCCGACACCGCGTCGGCAAAGGTCGGGATCGACGTGTCGGCCGATGCGGTTCTCGAGGTCGCCGCGCGCCTGCGCGTCGAGGCGCTCAAAAAAGTGGACGACGACCCAACAGCCGCGATGCTCGCGACGCGGCAGAGCTTCCAGCTGCAGCAGCAGTACGGCCACGACGCGGGCGAGCTATGCGCCGCGTGCGCCGCTGTGTGCCGCGTGCAGCGGCGCCTCGCCGCGCCGCGTGTGCCTGCCGCCGCTGTGGACACGCTTTGCTCTGCCCTCGACACGCTCGACGCGTGGGCTGCACGCGACGGGCGCGACGCAGGCGCGGAGGTCGACTTCCTGTGGCGCGAGCTGTGGGGCCTATCTCGGTCGCTCTGCGCCGCCGACCAGATCGGCGCCCCGACGCTGGAGGCGCTGCGCGCCGCCGACCGCTGCCTCGAGCGGATCGCCGCTGTCGGACTGAGGAGGCCGCTGCTGATCGAGACGAGCAGTCTGGGCGATCGCGACAACGAGGTGAGGCTGACGGCAGAGGAGATCCTCTTCCAGCAGGCCGACATCGCGCAGCGGAGCGCCGACGCGTGCATCACCCAGTCCAACTCTGCGCCCGCCGAGATGCGCCAGCGGGACCGCGAGGCCGCCACATTCTTCCTGAACCGCGCCGTGCGCAAGATCAAGCTCGCGGGGGCAACCGAGCGCGACCCGGTGCTGCGAGACATCCGCGCCCGGATCGAGGCTCTCGAGGCGGCACCCGTCCCCGCTCCCGCCGCCGCGAGCGCCGCACCCGCCGCCGCACCCGCCGCGCCGACCGCGGCCGCCGCAGACGACGGCGCCTGCGTCATAAGCTGAGTGTCATGTGTCCGCCGCCGCAGTAGTCGCGGGGGGCGGGGGCATGCGTGCCGTGCGGCGGGAGCGCCCTGAGCCTCACTGGGGACCCGACGCATACGCACACGCGCATGCGCCAGGGAGCGGCGCGAGCGGGGCGATTGCCACATGGCTTGCTCGCGCCGGCCGAGCCTGCTTCGCGCGGCCGCTGCGAGAAGAGGACGAGATGCGAGTGCACACAGTGTGCTCGGAGGCGGCCCAATTTTGTGATTACTTATACATTGTGATGTAATATGGATCTTGGCTTCTGGGGATTGGCACACGGACGGCCTCGGTGCTCGGAGTCGGACGGGGCCGATGCGCATGCCGGGTTGTTTTGTGAGCAGCGTTGAGGTCGTGCGAGTATATGGGCCACGATGTCTCTCAAATACGTCAGGGGCGGGGAACCCGCAATTTGAGATGCTGAGGCATCTGAAATTGCCCGATACGATTTCCATTCTAATTTCGATTGCCTCGAGCATCCCATGATGCATGAAGCAATTCAGGATGCGCGCGCGCGCGCGCATCCTGAATTGCTTCGCGCATCCTGAATTGCTTCATGCATCTTGGGATGCCTGAGGCAACCAAAGATGTCCACGACATCCCTGATTGAGCCATTACATCCTGAGATGCTGGCCGGAGGGCGCTGCATCTCAGGATGGCTGAATTGGCGTCGCCATCCCCGTGCGAGAGGTGGCAAGCATTTTCAAATGGATATTTTAACCTCAGATAAATAAGAGGTATAAGACAATCCAGAATGCGCGCGATGTGCGACGAGGCCTAATAGTCCGCAGCGCCCCCTCAATGGTGCGCCGCATGGAGGGCGAGCTCTCCCTCTCCCTCTCCCTCTCCCTCTCCCTCTCCCTCTCCCTCTCCCTCTCCCTCTCCCTCTCCCTCTTACTCTCCCTCTCCATCTCACTCTCTCTATTCTCACTCTCCCTCTTTCTCTCTCTCTTACTCTCCCTCTCCCTCTCTCTCTTACTCTCCCTCTCCCTCTCCCTCTCCCTCTTCCTCTTCCTCTTACTCTCCTCTCCCTCTCCCTCTCCCTCTCCCTCGCTCCCTCTCCCTCTCCCTCTCCCTCTCCCTCTCCCTCTCCCTCTCTCTCCCTCTCCCTCTGTCTGCACGTCTTGCGCGCGCGTGAACAGGCCTCCAGGCCCCAAATGACGTGTGAGTGTTAGAGTTGTTTGGTATGGTTAAAAATCTCTCTCTAGTGTTCTCTGGGAGGGAGTTTTGTTGTATTTTTTATTCTTTTCGGCTGTGCCAGTGCGCGCGAGTCTCTCCTCGTTTACGTTTTGTCGAGGAGCCACCGAAAAATTGTTTTTGCTCATCTCTTCTCGTACTGTGCTGCATGAATGCTTGCCCAGGTGTGAACAACACCTCGTGACCACGGCGCCGCAGGCGCCTGTTGATGGGTCCAGGTGATAGCCCTGGATGGGCAATGCATATGCCTAGTTGGACCTCAGATCGCCCGACCGCGTCCCGGTGCTCTGTGGTCGGATTTGTGACGCCGCCGCACCGCGCCGCGGCCGGGGCCCTCCGGAGGCCGAGGATGGCTGTGGCGGACCGGGACGAGCTCTGGGAGGTAAAGTGTCAGTGTATATATTGTAGAGACTAACCATGTGCACAACATCTCTCAGTCTAGCTAAGCCAGGGGAGGCGATGCCGGGGCCGTACAGCAGCTTGATGGTGCTTCGCCGGCGTGCGTCCCGGAGCGGTCCCGGACGGGCGGAGGGGCGGTCCGTGGGACAAAATCGGGGGACAACGCCGACGGCGCTCTGATTCGACTTTTTACTTCAAACAAAGACAGTGGCACGCGCCACAGCGCGGTGCGTGCCACTGTCAGGAGCGGATCCGTCAGTTAGTAGGTAGGTAGGTAGTAAGGTGAAGAACAGCCAGGCTCGGACTGGACACCAACGCGGTATGGGTGGACGCTAGACAGATGATGACGACACGCACGAGCGACACACAGACACAAACAAGCTCACAAGACACACAGCCAGCTGGCTGCCACACACCCTGAGTCGGCGTACACATAACTCAGGGCCACATCCTCCCTGTCGCCCCCCCCAGCACTCCACGGTGCCAAGGGCACAAACAAGGGCACAACTCAAACAACAGACGACAGGAAGTGATGTGTGAGGCTAGAGCAGACCGCTCCGCCTCTAGCAATCTCGCCGGCCGGCGAGGCACGGACGAGACCGTGTGTGGGGTCTAAGTGAGGTGTCTATGGACGCTAGTTAGTCGTGTTCAGGGTGTTCACGCCGGCATCGTGTCCCCAACAACCTGGGCAACCATTCAGGGCGACGAGTGGAGCCTCGGAGAGCGCGTGTGCGGTCTCCTCGCCAGTCCCTACCCCTATCGAAGTGCCGTCATGTCCCTACTTCTGCTCTCCTTCCTCGCCTCGGCAGACGCGGCGCGTCACCACTGCTCGAGAGAACTGCGCGGCGACTGCTCGAGACGGCTGCGTGGCGACTGCTCGAGACGGCTGCGTGGCGGCGGCGGCATGGGCCTCTCCATGGACCGGCCGACACACCGGCTGCGCGGCGGCGGCATGGACTTCTCGATGGACGAGCTGCAAAAGGCGATGTCTGACCCGGAGGCACTGGAGGAGCTCAAGCGACTGACATCCAACCCGGAGGCGATGGCCGAAGTGCGGGCGATGATGGACGACCCCGAGTTTCGCGCGCAGATGACTGCGATGGTGGACGAGGGCGGCGCGGAGAAGCTGGCGTTGGTCAAGGAGCAGCTGGCGAGCAACGACGAGCTCGGCGGCGCCATCAATGAGATGGGGCCGTCGCTCGGCGCGGCGCTCGACTTGCTGAAGCGCTCATGCGAGGACGCCGCCGCCCTCGAGGCTGCTTGCTCCGCGCTCCTCTCCCTCGTGCGCAACCTCGCCCAACGGCCGGAGGAGGAGAGGTACCGCACGCTCCGCACCGGCTCGCCGGCGCTGAGAGAGAGGCTCACACGTCACGCGGGCGGGCTGCTGTCCCTCGAGGCGATCGGCTTCCGCGCCGACCAGGAGGAGCTCCGGGCGCGGGAGGGGCGCCGCGCCAAAGCGAAGGAGGAGGGCGGCGAGGAGGAGGAGGAGGACCTCGAGCTGCGGATAGGAGACGAGGCGCGCGGGGCGGCGGCGCTGCGGCGGGCGGAGCAGCTGATTGCGACCGCGCAGCGGGAGGGCCGCGCGGCGTCGGGGCTCGCGACGGAGCACGAGCTCCCCTTCGCCCTCTGCGTCGCACTGCCCTCCATCCGCGCCGTCATCGGCGGCGACTCGGAGCTTGCGTCCGGCCTCACAAAGCTGCTGCTGCAGAACGACGAGTTCCGCGCCGTGCTGAGCGGTCCCGCGGCGGAGGTCGCGCTGCCGTCGATCCTGGGCATGCTCCGCTCGCAGGCGGGTCTGCGTGGGGTCCTCGAATACTTCTACCCCGAGGTTGCCACGCCACGCGGGCACAGGGTCCGCGCCGTCTCGACGGTCGGGGAGTGGAAGGCGGCGGTGGAGGCTGCGGGGGACAGGCCCCTCGTCGCCCTGCTCGGCCGCGCCGACGACCCGCCGAGCCGCATGCTGGTCGCGGTGTACAACAAGCTCTCCACCGACCCCGCCTACGCGCCGCTCGACTTTGCCGCCGTGAGCGTCGGCGGCGCCGACGACGGCATGGCGTTGCGCGTGCTGGACGAGGCGTTCGTGCACGTCAACGCGCTGCCGCTCTTTTGCTTCTACGACGCCGGGATCGAGCACCGGCGGTGGCGGCTCGCTGGTGCAGACGTGGCCGAGCTGCAGCGCCGGCTGGCGAGGGTGGCGGCGGGGCTGAGCCAGGCAGAGATCGACGAGGGGCCCGCCGTCGAGGGAGAGTGACGAGCGGGGGCGAGGGGGGAGAAGCGGTGCGCGAGTTGTGTGGGGAGCGCGTGAGGTCCCGTGTGAGCCTGCGGTGAGGCTCGGGAAGAAATTAAAAGTACTGGTTGGGTAGTAGGTTAAGTTCTGAGCCTCGAGGCTTAACGGGTCTAAGTAAGACCGGTCACGCTGGGGTGCTTACGGGTTGTTGCACGAGTATATGCAATATGGGACACGCGATGTCTCAAATATCGCAATATTGCGTATATATCATCGAGCACAACCGAGAGTGCCTCCAGGGCCGCGTCGAGGCCCTCGAGGTCCAGGTCTTCAACCAAACCTTCAACAACTACCAGCCTCCGCCAGGGGGCGTGGGAACCCGTCGGGCGCCCGGCTACGGGATGCGCCGCCTTGTGCTCTGCTGTACTAGCCATGTTCGTTGCGCCCGCGTGTTCGTCTCTCGCTTGATACATACACGAAATGTGCACAAGCCCCTCATTCCCCCCACAAAGCACCCGTTTGCGCCACGCGCCGCCCGCACCGCGCCCGCCTTTGGAGGAGCCTCGACAGCGGAAAGCGGTTCGGCGGCAAGAGGTTTTGTTGTGAGCTTCCCGCAGGCCCAGGGCCGGGAGCAGCTCGCCGCGCGAGGGAGGCCAAGCGCTCCGTCCAGCGGTGCGGCCGCAACGCTCCCTCCCCCCGTGCTCTCAGGCCGCGCCGCGCTGCGAGAGAGGAGTGGTCGGCAAGCTACCTGCCTTGCCTGCACGTCCGACGGCCGCTGAACCTGAAAGATCGCCGGTTCGCGAGTCTCCGCCAGCGAGTCCCCGGCTCGATGTCCTCCGGCGGGCGGTCCATCTCGGCCGCGCCAACCTCCAAGCTGCCGTTGTCCGCGTCGTACGTCGACTGCACCGTGCTGCCCGTGGCCTTGTTGTGCTGCGCCTGCCGCGTGCCGAGGTAGATGCCGAAGCTCTTCACCACCATCGCGATGCTATACCGACGGAGCGACCACAGTCCAAACGCATTCGGCTTGTAGCCTAGCCTCAGGCCGGCGCGCTGCAGCATCAAATACACGTGCTGCGCAAGCAGCGCCTCCTTCAGCCGCACGCGCCCGCCGCTCCCAACCTCCGGCAGCGATGGGTCGTCGAGCACACCGGCGTTGTACCGCCACGCGTCCTTCTCGCACGCGTCGTGCATCTCCTTCCAGCTCTTGTACACCGTATCGCGCAGCCGCACGTAGCCGTGCGACTCGAGCCTCGCCTCGAGCGCCGCCAGCTGCCTCTCCGTCAGCCCCGCGCGGCACGCCCGGTACCGACCGAATCGCATCTGCATTGCCTCGAGCACCGTGGTCGTGCGCCGCACTGGCGACACCGCGTTGGCCGTCACCGCCGAGCGGAAGAGGTAGACCGAGAAGTACTCCTTCTTCACCCGTCGCCAGTTGAGCTGCATCTGTGACGTCGCCTCGCCAGCGCACACGCCCGTGGCCTTTGTCAACACGAGCTTGCGCACCTTGTGCACCTGAGAGCGCGACGGCACGCGTCGTTAGAGCGGCTCACAAACACCACGCATCCCGTCGCTGCGTCGCGCGCTCACCACATCACGCACGCGCAGCGGGTTCTCCTTCTTCCATCGCACGGTGCGCTCATCGTGCCGCGTCTTCGCCATCATGCCGATGCGTGCCGCCGAGCTCTGCATGATGGCCAACGCCGAATGCGTAATGAGGTCCTCGTGCACGCTCTCGATGCTCTCCTGCTCGCCGATGAAGAGGTCCTGCAGCTGGAAGATTTCCGTGCGGTACACGTGCTGCCGCTTGTACACCTCCTCGGTCTGCGCCACAAGCTGCTCTGCGCGCTCCTCGTCCTCCATGGTCGCAGCTGGCGCGGACGCGGACGCGTACATGGCTTTGTACGCCCGGAAGATCGTCGACCAGTACTCACGCCGCGCTGCCACGCTCAGCTCGCCGAACGCGGGGTACTTTGTCTGCCAAAGGTTGTTGGCCATCTCAGCGACGTAGTTGCGAACCGCATGTTCTGCACGCCCTTGCGCCGCACCCCGCGCTGCGCGAGACACATGCGCTGCCGCTCGCGCGACATCTTCGACATGTACTTGACCCCCTGCACCTCGCTCGGATACCTGTCAATCACCTCGCCGCCCAGCTCGACGAACCTATCCCACGACCGCTCAGCCGTCTCGAGGTGCTCAAGCGTCGCCTGCACGAGGCCATTGCCTTGCTGCATCGCTCGCGCTACCTCCTCCTCGACAGCCTTATCCTCGCTCGAAGCTTCCGCTACCTTTGCACGGGCAATCTGCACGGCTTGCCCTCGCCGGCCCGACGCCGCAGCACCACACTGCGCACGCTTCTGTCGCGCGCTCGCCTCGCTTTTGCTGCCCACGACGCCACCCTTCACGCGGCGTCCGCCGCGGTGGGCACCCTCCATGTGAATCGCCAGTCCTCAATCCCCTTGCTTGCCCCCGCGTACGTCCCGTGACATAAAGGCCCATATGTGTGTGACATTTTGCAACTGGTACTGTGACATGTCAATCGCAAATGAGACCCGAATGGGACCGGAACGAATATTGGGACCCGGGTCCCACTGGGACCCAGGCGCTCTCCTGCCGCTGGCGTGCTCCGCCGACCCCGACCGTCGGCGCTGCACGTGAGGCATAGCTACCCCAACGCCCTGCGAGCTTCCCCGCGCGCCCTCGGCGCCTCGGCGACCCCCCTCGCGAACCCTGTATTGTTACTTTTTTTTAACAGTAACCGAAGAAGAAACGCGCCTGGCAGGCCAGCAGTTCGCGCCGCCAATCGCAGCTCCCCGTCGAGAGCGTGCCGAGGCCGGAGCTAACCAAGTCGGATATGGCCTCGGTGGCGAGCGCTCGGGACTTCACGCCCGCGGAGATCGACGCGGCCGGAGGCACGCTGCGGCTGCGCGTCGACGCCGACAACGAGAGCGCCGTGCTGGTCCAGACTCGAGTAGTCACGACGACGGGCGACGACACTCGGTGCAGCGGTTGCGGCCTGGGATGGTGGGTTGCAGGCAATGAGATGCTGCTTTGCGATGGCCCGGGCTGCGTCGCGCAGTGGCACATGGCGTGCTGCGATCCTCCTCTGACGGAGGTGCCACCTCGCCCTTCGTGCACTGTTCGCTGATCGCGGCAGTCACTCCCTGCAATCACTCCCGTTCCTTTCCCCTGCAATCACTCCCGGTCCTTGCAATCACTCCCGTTCCTTTCCCCCCCGGTCCATCTCGACCGCTGATAGGTGCCCGACGGCGACTTCTACTGCCCTTCGTGCACCGCGGGGAACCAGCTTCGCCAGGAGGACTGCGGCGCGTGCGTGGCGTGTCTCGACAAGCCAAAGTTCGGCGGCAAGGGCGTGAGAAAGGCCCGCTGCATGCACAAACCAAAGGTGCAGCAGCGCCCGGGCGGCCGCAAGGGTGAGGGAGGCGCCGCAAAGCGGCCGCCGTCGAGCGAGGACGCTGCTGCGCGCCCAAAGCCGCCCAAGGCGGCGCGCAAGGAGCCGCCGAGGCCGCCACCCTCCCAGGCCGAGGAGGAGGCCAACTCGATCGAGAAGGTGCTCGACGCCCGCCCGCGCCGCTCCGCCGCCGCCGCCGCCTCTGTCGCCGCTGGCCCCTCCTCGCCGCGCTCCATCCTGCGCGCGGCGACGGCGGGCGGCGGCGCGGGCGGCGGCGGGAGCGGGCGGCGCGGAGAGGAGGAGTACCTGTGCAAGGTGCGCGGCCTGGCCCACGTGCACGCGCGCTGGATGGTCCCCGCGGACATCCGCGCCGACGGGCGCCTCTCTCTGCGCGCGCTGCAGCACTTTCTCTCGCGGCGCGACGCCGGCGCAGAGAGCGGCTTCAGCGAGACTTGGACGGCGGTCGAGCGGGTGCTCGCCGCGCGCGAACCCGGCGCCGAGCCCATCCCGCCGCCCGCGCCCGGCTCCGCCGCCGCCTTTGCAAGCGCGTCCACCGGCCCAGTCGAGACTGCTGGCTCTGCCGCCGCCCCGACCGACACCGCGACTGCCGCCGCCGCCGCCGCCGCAACCGCCGCCCCGACGATGCTATACCTCGTAAAGTGGGAGGGCCTTGGCTACGACGGCTGCACGTGGGAGCGGCCGGAGACCGCGGGCGCGGCGGCCATCGCCGCCTTCGAGGCGCGCAAGGCGCTGCTCGCCGCGCCCGCCACCGCGCCCGCCGCCGGCGACAGCGAGGCGGGCTTGCGCGCCTCGCTGCCGCCGCTCGGGAGCGGTGAGTCCGCGCGCCGGCTGCGCGACTACCAGGAGGAGGGGCTCCGCTGGATGCGCGTCAACCACGCGCAGGGCCGCTCGGTCCTGCTCGGCGACGAGATGGGGCTCGGCAAGACCGCGCAGGCCGTGAGCATGCTGCGCGCCCTTTCAGAGCTGCACGGCGAGCCGCCACACGCCTCCTCCTCGCGGCGGCGCCGCGCCCCACGGATGCAGCTGTGAGTAGGCGAGACGCACGGCCCCTTCCTCATCGTCGCGCCGCTCTCGACGCTGCCGCACTGGAAGCGCGAGGTGGCGGCGTGGGCCCGGCTGCACGCAGTCCTCTTCCACGGCAACAAGGCGGCTCGCGACGCGCTCGTCCGCTTCGAGTGGGCGGTGCCGCCGCCGGGCTGCCGCTGGCCGTCGCACGAGCCGACCGGCAAGCAAGGCGCGCCGCTCGGCTGGTGCGGCACGCCGCGCTTCGACGTGTGCATCACGTCGTACGAGATGCTCGTCGCGTGCGCCGAGATCTTCCGCTCCGTCGAGCGCTGGGCGTACGTCGTGGTGGACGAGGCTCCCCTCCGGAGGGCGCCGAGGCTCGCCCACGGCACGCGGCGAGGAGCGGGCTCACGCCCCGTAGGCGCACCGGCTGAAGAACCGGGGCTCGCGCGCGAGCGAGGCCCTCCGCTCGCTCTGCGCGCCGCACAAGCTGCTGCTCACCGGCACGCCGCTGCAGAACCACGTCGGCGAGCTGTGGGCGATGCTCAACGTGCTCGACCCGGCCCGCTTCGACGACGCCGACCGCTTC